TAGTTCATGGCACTATACGGCCCGATCCTCGCTAAACCTTGGTAAAGCGAAGGAACTTACGCCCAGCGAGTTTAACGTGGCAACCTTTTCTGGTCAGATAGTGCTCAGAGTGTGTCCTTCCGTTATTAGTTTTTTAGAGGTGAAGCTCCTTAAAGCGGCACCCTTTCGTCCCTCGTAGTAGTACTCGTAGCAAGAACGAATGGACGGATGGATCCTGCACCCCACTCTCCATTATTCACCCCGTGGATATGCTGTCATATTTTTAGTACGCACCAAATTCAAGGCAAATTTTATTGGACGTTAAGTACCCGACGCGTCTTTTTGAGTTGTTCCTTCGAAAACAACTATCTTTTTTTATATATAATAAACCTGCGCGGGTTTACTCCTCAATTGAAAAGGGCGTGTGCATGCTGCTCTTCTAGTCCGGCTGTAAAGGTGGCTACCTACTACTACTGCTACTACTACTACTACTACTACTACTACTACTACTACTACTACTACTACTACTACTACTACTACTACTACTTCTACTACTACTACTACTACGACGACGACGACGACGACGACGATGACTACATACATCGCGGGCGCACAATCCACGGCAAAAGTAGCTTCGTGTTTAAACATTTATTCGTGAAAAATTTGCAGGTCCATAAGTGCCTTTTACAAAAACGAAGCTCTTATTCCCGGACGCCGCTGAACAAAGCCACTTTGCGCACTCTTAGACTATATAGAGCTTTTTGAGCCTCCTGCCTTGAGCAATTCACAGTGTCCTAGTTATTAAAGACGTCCACACAATGAGAGCACTGCCCATTGACTTTCGGGTCAAAATGCTTTACAATTGCAGAAACAACAAGGTGTTGGTCTGCAGGCACCTTAAGGTACGTTCATCGGCCTCATTCATGCCTTTAGAAGGCACCGGGAAAAGCTGATGTCATCCGCAGTAGTACACAAAAATTTCTCTGAATCTGAGAAGTGGTTGGCTAGTATCTGAGCCGGAAAAGCCTGGGTGACGTGACTTCAGCGGTCAAGTACGCGTGCGGTTGCATCCGTAGCTTCGTTACCTCTAAGTGGCTCGGAGCCTAGACGATGCGTTTGGGTGAGGGGTATCAACCCTTGATGTCTCGTTTTATAATTTTAGGCCGTTTTAGGCCAGATTATTTTCTTATGCTCTGCATGAATATGTAATTATTACTCTAGAGCCCATCTGCAAGGCGGCAAGTGCTAATGCTACCTCCTCAGCACGCGTGGAGTTGAAAGCCCGATAGCAGAGCCCGTTAACGCGTTTGTCTTGGTGAACTATGGTGCCCGTGTAGGCTACAGTGGACGATAGCCCTGCCACATCAACGTAGTATGCACCCGACCTTATATCCGTATTGGTGTTCAAAGGCCACAGCACGCGCCCCTCGTCTGCTTTCGTGTGTCTGCGAGGGCATGTTCCGAGGAAGAGGAGGAACACAGAGCTTGTGGCACCACAGCTAAGGAAGGCTTCGTGTCTCCTCTCGAATTCAGTCGTGTCTTATGTGCCGCCAGTCTAACAGGCGGCGCCCAGATACCGTCAGCGAAAGTCGCGTTGTCGAGGTGGGCCTCTTTCAATTTTAGGGGCGAAGCTCTTTATAGTGGCACCCGTTCGTCCCTCTAGTCGTAGTCGTAGTTGTAGTGTGTAACCATTCTTACGTTTTGACCTGCAAGTTGATGCCGGTGGGAGAGTTCTCCTGTGCTTTGTTGAACAATAAAAAAATCGTAGCGTGCCTGTTAACTAAAAGCGAAATTCTCCTGTTGTTCATTCCCCATTAGCAGCCATTGGCATGTACATTAAGCACTATCTGAGAAAAAAGGGTTGCTACGTGATACTCGCTGGGCGTAACCTCCTTGGTTTTAGAAAGGTTTAGCGCGCGTGGGGCCGCAGTGCCATGAATACAGTGAAGAAGTATATGTTACGAGCTCAAGGTGGTTAAAGGTGGGAAGTAGACAAGAAGCGCAAACCGTAAGAAAGTGTGCGTATGCCACCTCTTGTTTAATTCTTGGAATGTCCGCTGAACGCTGGTGCTTGGATATCGGGAATACATGATGAAACGATGCGAGATGGTGGTACTTGAAGTGTTCAATAGATGGACGAACGGACACACAGACAGATGCATAGACGGACTCACGGATGGCTGCACCGACGGATCGATGCATGGACGAACGCAGGGACAGACGCACAGATAGACGTGTGGACGCACGAACAGACGCACCCACGGACGGGCGAATGGACACGCGGGCGGTCACACAGACGGACGCATGGACGGACGGAAGCAAGAACGAATAGACGGACGGATGCTTCGCGCCACTCTCCATCATTCACTCCGTGAATATGCTGCCATTTTTTATAATAGTTGAGCACCTCCAGAGCCGATAATTTGGCACTGGAGGTAGTTACAGGTAGGTCTAAAGCTCGCCTTGTAGGAGTCATAATGATGGCGTCGATGCGCTGGTCATGCTATTTGGTAGTGAAACTTAGGGTACGGAGTAGAGGATCCGGCTCAATATAAAGGCATAGATTAGTCGAAGCGCATCCCTGCCCGTCGACCCAATGCGTTTGAGGGAAACGCGGTGGATCGTACTGTCCGACCTGCTCGCCTAGGCCTTTCAGTGTGGTAATGGTAGATTCCGGTTTGATTCCTTTAAGGAAGAACAGGCTCGGTATCCGGGTTCCCTCGATTTCTCTGACAGGAGTTTCCATCGAAAAGATACGTAAGTTCGTGTTGTCTTTAGAGTCGGCTATAACGTGCAGAAGCACTGATTTTGCAGGAGCACATTGGTCACGACAGCCTAAAGCATATGTATCAACGATAGAGGTGGCACACTGGATGCGGTCCTCCTTTTCTCCAAGGCTCGCTTCAATAGTCCAAATTGTTATGTCATTCGCGTAGACTGCGTGATGAATTCCTTCAACCCGGGCCAATTGATGTGGAAGCTGCATCATAGCAACAATCGCATGCCTTCATTCCAAGAACCACATCCGAATGGAATCTACTACCACAATCAGCTACGGCTATTACCGATACATCACGTTTTAGGGCCTTTTTGCAAAACATGTTTTGCGATGTTTGATTTTGCTTCGTGTTATATATGTCGTTTTTTTTTTTTTTTCAAAATCGTTGTCATGTATTCCCGCTGCTACATTTAATTCTTTGTTACTGTGTGTTTTTGCCAACCGCTTTGTATTTTCCCTTCTTTTCCTTTACGTTTTGCCGTTTTGCCGTTTTTTTTTTGTAATGTATTACCGCTACTACATTTAATTCTTTGTTACTGTGTGTTTTTGCCAATCGCTTTGTATTTTCCCTTCTTTTCCTTTACGTTTTGCCGTTTGCTGTATTATTTTGTATTGCCACTCCCCTCTGTAATGCCTTCGGGCCCTGAGGGTACCATAAATAAATAAATAAATAAACAATGAAGAGAAGTGGTAACAAGACCGCTTCTAGAACAGTACCCCTTTTGCCCATAATGTCTGGGCCTTTTTCGTCATTCTCAATTTTAAAGAAGCCCTGACGCTTCGAAAGGAAGTCTCTCACATATGCAAATGCCTCGTCATCGCAAGCTGAAGAGCTCAGGTTTGCCAGAAAGTCGCCTTGACGAACGTTATCAAAGGCACTTTTGAAGGGACACTGATGTCAAATAACAATTTGTGCAAGAGTGAAAGCTCGATGTGTTGGAGCGTTGGACGACCCGCTCTTTACGCGATTCTCATTGTGTGACGCCTGGCTGTTCATTTGTTCTAAAAAGCTTTATTACTCATATTAACTCGATTCCTTTCCAGACATCAAGCCTGCGCATGGTAAGTTTAAAAACGAGTTCCAATCATTGGCGTGGCTCAGAGGTGGAATACTGGTCTGGCACGCAGCTGACCAGAGTTCAAATCCCATTGCGTATTAGGGGTTTTTATTTACTGTGTTTCTTTCGTCTTTGGATACTGGGTACGAACAACGATGTTAGCAGCGCCGGCGTACAACTACGGTACCGCGCGTGAACCGTGTTTTTATCTCATAGCATCTTTCGATGTAAAACGTTCGTTTCTTCACAGTACTGCCTGGTCGTGTCATATCTGATTCTGCACTCACAGGTATTCTCGCACAGAATGTAAAGTTAACGTTTTAATAATTTTTTACCTTTAACAAAAGACTATCGCGTATTGACGTCCTTTGCAGTGAAACAGGCAGATACGCAACCTTTTTTTTTTCGATTGCTAGTCTATGTCGTTTTTTGCATTACTCAGTATTTATTTATTTATTAGAATACCCTCAGGGCCCGTAGGGCATTACAGAGGGGGTGGGTACAACATATATAACACACAAGAAAAAAAGACAAAATAAAGAAACAAGTAACAGATGCGCAAATCAGGAAGGCAACATAAGTCAACTAAAAAAGTATAAGAATTCAAGCACATACAAGACAAAGATAGATAATGGAAACTGCGTATAGTTACAAGCATTGCTGAGAAATTGCAGTCTTGAATAACAAAGGGTCTGTTATTGATACAACGGAAGAGGGTATGCTCTAGCGTGATTCTGGTCGTGAGTGTAAACAAATAAATAAACTACTAGACAGCCAAATTCTAGTAAATCTATCAATATAGAGTAGATAAGCGCTCTTTTTTGGGGCGACAAATTATTGCTTTTATATATGGTTACTCAGCATAGCTCATTCGCGTGTGATAAAAAGAAAAGTGAATAGCTGTTCAATCAGTTGTAGTGTTGGTTGCCTCTCAACACCTGCTATATGAAGAAGCTCTTGCAGAGCGACAAATCTCAGACATTGGCATCCTATCTACGAAAGCAAGCAGCAGATGGTTCTCAGTAGTTTTCTTGCAACGAGTATTTTATACTTAGCTGATTTCTTTTATCTTGAGAGAACAGAAAAAAGCCTTTGTAACACTCAAGCGAACGCAACTATCTTTTATTCCTCCCAATTCGACACTCTTCCACGGTCGAGAACAAGTTCATTTAAAAAATGCTTACCGTTTATGTTGTTGTACATGGCTGGTGAACCAACATACGAGAGAGTCGTACCTTGCACACGGCACCAAAACAAATTTGTTGAGGAGTGAGGGTAATATTTACTCGGAAACTTCCAGCCTGTAAACTCCTGGATAATCTGTAACGAAAAGCACCGGACGTATAAGCACGTTATTGGGGTAATGAAATACATTTGCGCAGAACTATAGAATGAATATATTTTGTACGCAAAATTATGTTATAAAACCACCACAGCCGTTCGTACTTATAAAAATAGTAACTTCCATTGTTTAGATTGAGAGACTGGGTATATACATACCATATGCCTTCCAATGCAGTTCACTGCCATTTTTGTGTATATGGTTTACATTGAAGTTAATAATGAGGACGTGAACAATAAAAACTGCCACAAATAAATGTTCTGTAAACTTCTTTGGTGAACCCTTCAAGTCACGAAAATGTTAATTGCACAGATTTACAGTGCTTAATTCTGATGTTCATGAATATTGGATGCCATGCAAAGACAAAGGTGGAGTCTGTGTAAGGGCGAAGTGTTAAAAAATTCACCTAAGGAGGAGGAGGAATAAATGAGGAAGGACAGGGAGGTTCACCTAAAGTCGCACTAGACCACCCTTAGGTTTATCAATGTTGTTGGTAACGAAGATTAATTTTCGGAACGGAGATAATTATATTTTCTGCAGTTTTATGCACGCGGAGGCTGCTGTAAGGTATTATAAAAATTGCTGACCCAAAGCGTTTTTATGATGTTCGCGATAATATAAGGTATCTGCAGATAACACAAAATGAGTATTAGTATCAAAAGCGTACTCATTACACGAAAAAAATGTTTAGGCAAATGTAACGATTGTATTGGGACGTAGCGTGAAATTCCTGTTCAAACATTCACAAGTCTGCACAAATTATTCTGGCCGTGGCGAATTCGTATACTTGATAAGTTGGGCACCACATTATGAAGCGTTCGTTCAGGAACGCAAACTATCAAAAATACCCAATGTATTCACGCTGTATTGTCGAAAAAACGAGTGATATCTAAGAAACATACACACACACAAAAAGAAACCCCAAGCCTGCGCGGAACACGCAGCAGTCACAAAGAAAGCTAGAAGGGCATTCTTTCACAGCCTTTCTTCAAACACTACTTTGGTGACTGCTACGAGCATATTTGCAGGCTACCCACTACGTCATAAATCATGATAGTGATGATGAAAACAATAGTGGGGTCGGAGAAGACGCAGGTGAGACCCAGCGCCACCCTGCTGGTCATCACCAGTCATAAGTCACCATAATTGTTATGTAGTAGGGAGGAATTTCAGTAAGCCATCTTTATTCATTCTTCAGAGCAGCGTGGTACCCGACCGCACACTTCCGAGGAATTTCGTCAGTTTTTTTTTGACGCTTTGGCCAACAATGCTGAAAACTTATGCGTGAAGCTTTTGTAATGAGTTGGAGCATTTGACGACCCCTTCGTTATGCAAGTCACATATAGTGACGCCTGGTGTTTTTTTTTCCTCTCCTAGAACGCTTTATTACTCATATTAACACGATTTCTTTCTGCGACATCACTCCTGCCTAAGACTGATTTGCAACGGAGTTTCAAGCACCTGCGTAGTTCTGACAGACAGATAAGTCGAGCCGAGCGAGTGACAGACAGACAGACAGACAGACAGACAGACAGACAGACAGACAGACAGACAGACAGACAGACAGACAGACAGACAGACAGACAGACAGACAGACAGGCAGGCAGGCAGGCAGGCAGGCAGTGCGTTAAGGTATCTCAAGGAAGACATCACAAAGAGAAAAAAACCGGTGTAGCTCTGTGGTAGAATACTGGGCTGGCACGCAGCGGACGCGGGTTAAAATAACATTGTGTCCTCGGCGTTTTAGGGGCGAAGCTCCTTATAGCGGCACCCGTTCGTCCCCCGCAGAATGTAACGACCATAACATTTTGACCTCCAAGCTGGTGCCGGTGAGAGACTTCTTCTGTGCGTTGTTGAACAATAAAAAATAGTGCTCAATGTACATGTCAATGGCTGCTAATGGGGAATGAGAGACAGGAGCATTCGGCTTTTAGTTAACGCGCAGGCTGCGATCATCATTAGCAGTCATTGGCATGTACATTGAGCACTATTTGACAAGAAAGGGTTGCTACGTTATACTCGCTGGGTGTAACCTCCTTCGCTTTAGAAATGTTTAGTGAGCGTTGAGCCGCAGTGCCATGAATACAACGAACTTGTATATACCACCAATGAACTCGAGGTGGTTAAAAATGGGAAGTAGATACGGAGCGCAAGCCGTAAGAAAGTAAAAGCCGAATTCTCCGCCTCTCATTTCCCATTAGCAGCCATTGGCATGTACATTGAGCACTATCTAACTGAAAACGTTTGCTACGTCATACTCGCTGGGCGTAACCTCCTTGGTTTTCGAAAGGTTTAGCGAGCGTTCGGACGCAGTGCCATGAATACAGTGAACTAGTATATATCATGAACTCGAGGTGGTTAAAGGTGGGAAGTGGACCCAAAGCGCAAGCCGTAAGAAAGTGTGCGTGTGCCACCTCTCGTTTAGTCTTTGGAATGTCCGCTGGATGGCGGTGCTTCTATATGGGGAATATATGATGAAAAGATGCGAGATGGTGGTACTTGGAGTGTTGAACAGATGGACGAACGGACACATAGACAGATGCATGGATGGACGCTTGAACGGACGCAGGGGCGGCTGCATGGACGAACGCAGGGATGGACGCAAGAACAGACGCACCCACGGACGGGCTGATGGACGCTTGGACGGTCACACTGACGGACGCATGGATGGACGGAAGCAAGAACGAATGGACGGACGAATTCTTCACCCCACTTTCCATGATTCACTCCGTGGATATGCTGCCATTTTTTTAAAGCGAATAATTTCTTAGCAAAGTTCAGCTAACTTAACCGTATTATCTATCTATCTATCTATCTATCTATCTATCTATCTATCTATCTATCTATCTATCTATCTATCTATCTATCTATCTATCTATCTATCTATCTATCTATCCTCCTACGACTTCAAGCTCTCCTGGCCGTTTGGATAATGGAATCTATACCAAAAATTGGTATGATGTAACATGACTGTATGATGGTGATAACTAGCAAGTCATAACATGAAAAGCATGTCATGTATGCAACAAATGTCATTATTTACATGCCATGGTCTTGCTGCTCCTGCGGTGGTTTGTTCACATGATATATTGCAAAACTGGTATGGTATGACATGGCTCCTTGGCAAACATATGTGACAGACTCTAACGTGGAAATCATGACAAGCACGTCCTGTAAGAATATGACTACAACATACCACACTCGTGATGTACTCGCGGTCGGTTTGCTAGCTTCACGTACACCAAGTTTGGTATTAGGTGAGATGAATGAGTGATGGAGGTATATGACTGATGCCAACATGATAATCATGACAGGTATGTAATGTAAGAAAATGACTACGTGCCACCCTCGTGATGAGCTCGCGGTGGTTTCACTGGCTTCGCATACACTAAACTTGGTATTACGTGACATTATAAATGAAGATGGTATATGACTGGTGCAAACGTAATTATGACAGGTATGTCAAGTAAGAAAATGACCACATGACACGCTCATGATGCGCTCGTGGTTGTCTCGCTGGCTACACATACGCCCAATTAGTATTATGTGACGTGAATGAATTACGAAGGTATGCGACTTGTGCAAACATAATAATCATGACATGCATGTCATGTAAAACATTACTACACGCCATTCTGAAGATGCACTCTCGGCCGTTTAGCTAGCTTGATATATACCGAATTTGGTGTTACGTGACCTGAACAGACGACGATGGTAAATGACACGTCAAAACATGATAGTCATGATATGCTTGGCATGTAACAACATGACTACATGCTACGCTCATAGTGCGCTCGCGGCTGTTTCACTAGCTTCACATATATCGAAATTTGTGTTACGTGAAGCTAACAGACAACATTCCATTGCTGAGTAACTCAAGGGACTGATTGCAACTTATGATTACGGAGTAAGACAAGGAGAGCAGAGAGGTGGGTCTTAAAATTAATCTGCAGAAAACGAAAGTAATGTACAACAACCTCGGAAAAGAGCAGCGCTTCGAGATAGGTAATAGTGCACTTCAAGTTGTAAAAGACTATGTCTACTTAGGGCAGGTAATAACCGTGGAGCTGAACCACGAGATTGAAGTAACTAGAAGAATAAAATGGGGTGGAGCACATTTGGCGAGCACACTCAAATTATGAGAGGTAGATTGCCACTATCCCTCAAGAAGAAGTTATATAACAGCTGTATCTTGCCGGTACTTAGCTACGGAGCAGAAACCTGGAGACTTACAAAGAGGGTTCCGCTTAAATTGAGGACGACGCAGCAAGCAATGGAAAGAAAAATGGTAGGTGTAACTATAAGAGACAAGAAGAGAGCAGAGTGGATTAGTGAACAAACGGGGGTTAAGGATATCATAGTTGAAATCAAGAAGAGAAATTGAGCATGGGCCGGGCATGTAGCACGTAGACAGGATAACCGCTGGTCATTAAGGGTAACTAACTGGATTCCCACAGAAGGCAAGCGAGTTAGGGGGAGACAGAAGGTTAGGTGGGCCGATGAGATTAATAAGTTTGCGGGTATAAATTGGCAGCAGCAAGTACAGGACCGGGTTAACTGGTGGAACATGGGAGAAGCCTTTGTCCTGCAGTGGACGTAGTCAGGCTGATAATGATGATGATGATGAACAGACAACGACGGTAAATGACACTTTCAAAGAATAATATTATAATTGATATGTGGGGTTTAGCGCCCCAAAACTACCATAAGGTTATAAGACGCGTCGTAGAGGGGGACTCCAGAAATTTCAACTACCTGGGGTTCTTTAACGTGAACCCTAATCTGAGCACATGGTCCTACAGCGTTTTCGCCTCCATCGAAAATGCAGCCACCGCAGCCAGAATTCGATTTCATGACCTGCGGGTCAGCAGCCGAGTACCTAAGCCACTAGACTACCACGGTGGAGCCATACATCATAATCATGACATGCGTGTCATGAAAACATGACTACATGCCGTGCTATGTTGCGCTCGCGGCC